GACTCCGTCTCAAAAAAAAAAAATAAATAAATAAAAATAAAAATAAAAATTCTCCCCCTGGTTCCTGGTCATTTGTTTTGTGTACTAGGTGAAGGTTAGGTAAATACGTAAGTAACTAGGAGGTATGCTTACTTTTGGATAACACTTCCTTAGGGAATACGATTGGAAAGTGTTCAATTTTGGCTGTCCCTTAGATTGTTACATTCCTGAAGAAACATACGTTGTCTTTACTGGTTGGAGTGCCATGGCTCATACCTGTAGTCCCAGCACTTGAGGCTGAGGGGAGAGGATCTCTTGAGGCTAGGAGTTTGAGATCAACCTGGGCAACATAGTGAGACCCTGCCTCTACCCTTTCCCCCAAAAAAGAATAAAATACTTTTCTGTGTGGTGGACTGACTAGTGCAAATCTAACTCTTAGGTTGAAATCTTACATAGTCAGTAGTATTTCTTCAGAAGTGTTGTTTTGGTGTAGCATTGTGCTCTTAAGGTTTGTAGATTGTGATTGAGAGATGGCTTCTCATTTGAGGAAGAGAGAGGTCATAGAAGGAACTCTGTCACTGAACTTTGGACACAAGGCCCTTTGAACTTCAGTTCCTTGTTATAAACTTGCGATACCTGCTCTAATTCACATGAAGTTTTGTGTGTATCAAAAAGCTGTAAGTAGTGTAATCTAATAAATTTTATGCAGTCATGTAAGAAAGTTATGCATTTGGTCTTCAGAATCAATATAATTATTTGCCCTCTGCCCCCACCCCAGCCCATTGTGGTGGGAGTATTTGTCTTCTAAAATCTGTTGGATTCAGTTTCACATGCTTATATAAAAACATTTAAAAAAATAAAAGGAAATATGGGATACCTACTATGACTGGTGTGTGAATCAGTTCGTTTTCTTTTGAGATGGAGTCTTGCTCTGTCACCCAGCCTGGAGTGCTGTGGTGCAGTCTTGGCTCACTGCAACCTCTGCCTCGCAGACTCAAATGATTCTTCTGCCTCAGCCTCCCAACTAGCTGGGATTACAGGTGCCTGCCACTAAGCCTGGCTAATTTTTATATTTTGAGTAGAGATGAGGTTTCACCATGTTGGCCATGCTGATCTCAAACTCCTGGCCTCAAGTGATCCGCCCACTTCAACCTCCCAAAAGTGCTGGGATTATGTGTATGAGCCACCGAGCCACGCCTGCCCAGTTCCTTTTTTGAATAAGGAAATGAATGTGTTGTGGTTAAAGGTTAGATTGACATTTCAGTGCCCTTGGGGTTTGCCTAACCTTCAAGTTTGTGGCTCTTTTCCACAGTGACTTCGGTTTCGGTAAGATAGTGTTGGACACAAGACTGGCCATGGTTTCTGTGCTCTGTTTTTCTGGGATAGGTACTTGAAAGCCCATGCTTCTAGAACTGGGGTGTGCTGAAAGCAGCGTTTGGCTGAGAGCCGTCAAGAGGCCGTGTGTGTGTGTGCGTGTGTGTGTGTGTGTGTGTGTGAGATTATCCACTGGACAGTAGTTTGTCCTGGGATTACGTTAAAATGTAGTCATGTCTAACATTCTCCAGTAAGCATGCAGGTCTCCTAATTAGCCCAAGGTATGAGAAAGATTTTTTTTCAATCAGGTAACTATTTAAAAAGAACTCTATTTTAAATACTTCACCAGGTACATGGGACTTTATATTTTGGGAGATAACTGAGGTTGGGTTTGAGTGGTAAGGCAATTGGACTTGGTTTTTTTTTTTTTTGAGACGGAGTCTCGCTGTGTCGCCCAGGCTGGAGTGCAGTGGCCGGATCTCAGCTCACTACAAGCTCCGCCTCCCGGGTTCTCGCCATTCTCCTGCCTCAGCCTCCGAGTAGCTGGGACTACAGGCGCCCGCCACCACGCCCGGCTAGTTTTTTGTATTTTTAGTAGAGACGGGGTTTCACCATGTTAGCCAGGATGGTCTCGATCTCCTGACCTTGTGATCCACCCGCCTCGGCCTCCCAGAGTGCTGGGATTACAGGCTTGAGCCACCGCGCCTGGCCGGACTTGGTTTTCAGAATATAGTGTTAACAGTATAAAACTACATTATGCTCCGGTGGTGCAAAAACATACTTAAAACATTAAATGTTGTATCTGCTTTTCTCTTCTAGGACCTTCTAGTCTGTAAGGGTAGTGTTTGCAAAATGCTTGACTTTTAGTGTACTCATAGTCGGTTCTGATGTTGAGACTTGGTCATCTCAGAATTTTTGAGGTGAAATAGTTGTCAGTTGCATAATTATTTTTAAAGAGGTTCACAACTTCTTACATAACTGTCTTATATCTAAGCCAGGCTACTAGTGATTATTGAGTTTTCCCAGTGTTCAAATCTGTGATGAAACCATTAGTCCCTTGCAGATCTGACTGTTGGACTTCTTGTGTCTTCAATCAAAACAAACCAAAACTTGGCCAAGCTCTTCCCAGGATAGTTTTTTTTTTTTTTTTTAAACCACCTCACGTGGCCCCTTCCCTTTGGCCCTTGAGTTTTGTATCAGGTTTAGCTTCTCTTTTTTTGCTGTCTGGTTTGGCAGGTGTATGTTTACATGCCTACTTCATTTTTCTTTCTTCCTTTTTTTTTTTTTTTTTGAGAGAGTGTCTTGTTCTTTCACCCAGGCTGGAGTGAAGTGGCACACTCTCGGCTCATTGCCACCTCCGCCTTCCGGGTTCAAGTGATTCTCCTGCCTCAGCATCCAGAGTAGCTGGGATTACAGGTGCCTGCCACCACGCCTGGCTACTTTTTGTATTTTTAGTAGAGATGGGGTTTTGCCATCTTAGCCAGGCTGGTCTCGAACTCCTGACTTCAGGTGATCCACCTGCCTTGGCCTCCCAAAGTGCTAGGATTACAGGCATGAGCCACCACGCCCGGTCATCCTTTTTTGCTCTCTCCAAGCCTGCTTCAGACTTGTTTCTTGTATCCCTTTTTTACTATGCTTCAGACTTTTTTCCTCTGTTTCTCCAGGTCTGGGCTTACCTCGTAACATTTGGCTTTTGAAGAATAAAATTTCCTTGTTCTCTTCAGAAACAGAAACTTCTTCATTTATAAGCTTGATTAAAAGCAGTTCTTCTAGGTAGGATAGGTTTAAAAACGTGATTGCTTCTAGGTTAACACATTTTACATTTATCCTTTATGTGGTTTGATAAGATAAGTTTTAGTTGCTCAATGACTTGATTTCTCTTAATGCCTCCAGCTCTTTCAGAATCATTTAAGTTTTAGGTACAGCATTACAAAGTCATCTTTAGGTTTGTCCACCCCTTTAGGGTTGGCTCATCTAAATCTTTTCTTAAAGAGATGGGAAAGTGGTGATCGTCTCTAATGCTATTTATATTCAAAATGGTGGAGTCCTTGCTTTGTTTATGAAGAAGTGAGAAATCAAGATTATTGATTCACATTATACCAGTAGTGAGACACTGGAGAATTTACTTCACTTTTGAGCTGCTTTTTATGTTTGTAAAATTAGAATAATCCACCTTCTCAAAGTTGTGATGGAGAAGATATGAATGCACTCTATAGCATATCAGGTTTCCAAATTGATGTCGAATTCTAGTCCTGGTCCTTTTTATTTTGAAGTCTTTTTTCTTTTTAACATCCCAGGTCCTACATTGATTATTTTTTTAAGAGAAAAGATCTGTGGACAATATCCTTGTTTTTATTTCTTCAGCAGTAAAGACTATCATCTGCCAAAGAGTCAGCCTTATTATAAAGTTCTGGTTGTTCTGCTGCCCTCTTGACATTTTCTTTAATAGTGCAAATTCAGCTTGGGATCCTCTGTGATGTCTGGATGATTGTTTTTTTTTTTTCCTGGAACACAGCTTTACATTGTTTGACGATTGCCCATCCTTTCAGAGTCTACTGTAGACATAGCAGACAAGAAATTAAAGCCGCCGGGTGCAGTGGCTCACGCCTGTAATCCCAGCACTTTGGGAGGCCGAGGCGGGTGGTCAATGAGGTCAGGAGTTCGAGACCAGCCTGACCAACATGGTGAAGCCCGGTCTCTATTAAATACAAAATTTAGCCAGGTGTGGAGGCGTGCGCCTGTAATCCCAGCTGAGGCAGGAGAACCCGGGAGGCGGAGGTTGCAGTGAGCCAAGATTGAGCACTACAGCCTGGGCAACAGACTCCGTCTCAGAAAATGAAATAAAATAAAATGAAATAATCAAAGCCGGGAAAAGTAATAGAGAAATGTACACAGTGTTGTTGCTTTTACAAAAAGTTCAAGGATAAAGTAAAGATGTTGGTTAATGCTGTTAAAGACATACTGGTGATTTTCTGCTGGCACAGCAGCTCAATTAAAAATAAATTGCAGTGACTTAAATTTTCAAATACTTTTTTCAACTAGATGAAACCACTGAAAGGTAGGGGTCATTTTACCAAAACCCAGGTGGAGTATACACAAAGAATCAAGTCTGGGAGATCTATTGGGAATGGTTGAGTTACAGGAAGCTGTTGGGAACTGGAAGGAGAATGAGAATATACCCAGGGAAATAAATAAAGCTTTTTGTTTCCACCATGCTATTTGGTTTTAGTGTTGAGCCGTCAATCAGAATTAATTTTTCCTTCTAAAACGTTTGTCGCTGTCTTCAGCTTGTTCCTGAATCTTGGTGCTGAATCTGTCAGTAGGAGTGCATTTCCACAATGACGTGGTAAATGCAGATGAGTGTGGCCTGAGGCATGTGCAATACTTAGACATCTGTTGAATGATGTGATGCAAGTTATTTTAGGTAGTTCCATTACAGATAACTAATCTGTTTCTGTTAAAACAATTTTTTTTAACAAGACAAGCTCCAGGACTGCGTTAAGTCAACACTGAATTTAGACATTAAGATTAAATTTTATATATAACATTTTCATTATGACTGTAATCATTTCAGTTTATATTACTGATACAGAGGCCACATCATGGTATTCACTTTGGTTAGCTTGTAAAATGGTTTTCTTTAGGAGGGAATACAATTTGACTCTAATGATCATGATACATGTTTTCTTTTTCTTTATTTCTAACAGAAAGCGTGGATACCCATCAACGAAGTTTTGATATTGGAATTCAGATTGGCTATCAGCGACGCAATAAGGATGTGTTGGCTTGGGTTAAAAAACGCAGAAGAACTATTCGTAGAGAAGATTTGATCAGCTTCCTGTGTGGAAAAGTTCCTCCACCACGAAACTCTAGAGCTCCCCCAAGACTGACTGTAGTGTCCCCTAACCGAGCTACTTCAACGGAAACTAGCTCATCTGTAGAGACTGATTTGCAACCCTTCCGGGAAGCCATAGCTCTGCATGGTAAAGCCGTTTAAACATATTTCTTTGGAAAAATGGTTAAGAGGGTGCCTGTGGACCCATTTTTCACTTTTAGGTTTAGGTCCAGATATGCTGTTTTTTGTCTATTACAGTAAACAGCTTGCTCTAGAAATGTTTAATAGAATGTAAGCTAAACCTTATATGGGCGATTTCTGTCAGATAACCCATCCTAGAAAATGTTTTTAGAAAGTTAGTTTGAGCTTATTGGTGTTAAAATTACATATCTTTCTGCAGTGTTGATTAGAATTTATCGCTTTACAGTTATGTGTTGTACATGTTTTTCTCCTCTTCTGAAGTCAAAGAGGAAGTTCTTGTGTCTTAAGAATTCTGTTATATTTCTAATGGTCCATGACAGGCAAGTAAGGTGGGAGATTGTTGGGTTAGTTCTCATGGGACCTGGGACCTCCCTTGATACCTTTCTTACTTGGTCTGCTATAGATGGTGGGAGAGGATGGATGTAAGATTCGACCTTCTGCCTATCGTCCCGTCCCTCAGGTTCCTTGCGCTTTAAGAGGCGGGCCCAGCAGAGTTCAGCCAGTGGACAGGTGGATCGCTATCTCCCCAGACCAGACCTGTCATAAGAAGGCACTCTTGGCTAGGGGATTTTAGTATTGCTGGAGAAACCCAGGGAATGTAGTCAGTGATAAGTCTGTTGTTGCTTGTTGCTCTCTAATACAGACTTCCAAATAGAGCTGGGAGAGTTAACCTGTGTGACAGCATTTAATACTGCTTAAGGAAAGAAAGCAACAGAATAATAAGACTTGCTTGAAACCATGGTGAAAACATGGACCACGCAGATGGCTAAGCAGGTAGAAGTAATTAGGTCATGAATTCTTTTTTTTTTTTTTTTTTTTTGGAGTTGGAGTTTCGCTCTTGTGGCGCGAGCTGGAGTGCAGTGGTGTGATATTGGCTCACCACAACCTCCGCCTCCGGGTTCAAGCAGTTCTCCTGCCTCAGCCTCCTGAGTAGTTGGGATTACAGGCATGCACCACCACGCCTGGCTAATTTTTTAGAGACAGGGTTTCACCATGTTGGTCAGGCTGGTCTCGAACTCCCAACCTCAGGTGATCCACGCCACCTCGGCCTCCCAAAATGCTGGGATTACAGGCGTGAGCCACTGCGCCTGGCCGTGAGTCTTGTTGACAGTTAACATTTTTGGGCCATAGTACAAGTCATCTAAAACAAAGTAACCTGGTAAGGTACTAAGAAATAGTGGGATATAAAGAAACTTTATTGAAGTTGAATCATTGAAACTTTAATACCTGTAGAGATTTTGTTCTCTGTGGCAAACTGTAGTTCTTTCCTGAAACCCCAATGTTGTTTTTTCCGTGTTAGTGTTTAGGACAATTAAAAACAAAAACATGAATTGCAGGAAAGTTCAGGTTGTATGGATGCAGTACTTAAAACTGCACACTGTTCCTGATAGAGTGGAGTAGTTAGGCTGTCAGAACTTTGGAAGCTTGGGCAAAAATGGGATCTGTTGATACTGAATTAGAGAGTTTCGCATCTTTTCCCCTAAAGTTTGGGAAAACAGTTAACTAGAGGTGTACATAGTTTGTTAGATTAATTTTAGTGCATGGTAATATTTGATGCAGTTGTCTCTTAAGTATTGTGATTTTCTTCCTTTTTTAAGAGGGTTGTGGCTCATTCCATGCTTCTCTTAAGGTATCTTTTTTACTCTATTGTACTGTTACATTTTAGAAGAGAGTTTTAAGAAACATAAAAACCACACTTGTTATCTTAAGGTAGCAGTAGTGTACATAGTAGTAAAAAGGGCAAGCCAGCCTCCTCTGTCCTCAAAAAACTGTATCCTCCAACTCCCATGTATTTTCTTATATTGCAAGTGTTCCATCTGTGATTTATTGTTTTCCTGAACTTTGGGAGTTTTAAGTAATGATACAGTTGAAGGGACTGTTTATAATTTTCACATGTTTAAGTTGTGAGGATTTAAAACTTAAATATAAGGTTTTGTGTAGGAAAAAATGATCTTTACCTCCAGTAAATTTCTTATGTAGCACTAATCCAGTACAGATTGGAGACTGAATGCATTCTTACTCTTAGGGTTCATACCTTTAATTCATGGGTTAAAACAGTGTTGTGGTGAAGTAATAGGGCCCCTTGAAAGACTCTACAGAAACATAAATTATACTGAGTTGTGCTCTACTGGTTTGTGAGAACATCAGTGTATTAAGGAGAATGGTAGTTGAATTTGAATATTTAAAGTAATTTGAATGGTTCTGGTACTAGGGCCATTGTTAACTACTAATGCTGATTAGTGACTTTAACTGGGTGTCCTTATTATCTGATTTGTTTGAAGTGAACACTGTTATGGTGCTCTTTTAAGATGTACTTGGAAACACCATAGTTAGGGTAAATACAATGCCAGAATTCAGTCTTGCATATTATTTGCTTAGCCAAATTCATGAAGTAAAAGGCCAAATTGAAGTTTTTGGAGTTTTGCATTGAGGGTGGGTCCAAATTCATGTGTTTGGAGAGCAAAAGGACATGGGAAAAGAATTGGTATATTGAGGCAGGCTTGAGTTTATAATCAAAGCAAACTCAACGTTCCTCTTCATGTCCTATGTATTTAAGAGAGGACAGTTTTCCCTCAGTTTTTTTTTCCCCTTCCTTACCCCTATCCCCATGAAATACAGCCCAACCAACCAAACATGTTCTTAATTTAAAGGAATATGGTAGACTTGATGCCTGCTGAATATTTCATGTAGATAGAGTGTGACAATGAATGAGACCCCAAGTCATTACCCTTGTAAGCCTCGGAACCCAGTTTAGTGGGAGAGACTAATGTAAACAGCTTTAATCAAAAGTATATCAATTGGCCAGGTGCTGTGGCTCACACCTGTAATGTCTGCACTTTGGGAGGCCAAGGTGGGTGGATCACTTGAGGTCAGGAGTCTGAGACCACCCTGGCCAACATGGTGAAACTTTCTATTTAAAGAAAAAAAGGGTATATCAATTTATGGTTATCAAACAGGTTTGTTTGTTTGTTTTTTTGAGACTGAATCTTGCTCTGTAGCCCAGGCTGAAGTGCAGTAGCGTAATCTCGGCTCACTGCGACTTCCGCCTCCTGGGTTCAAGTGATTCTCATGCCTCAGTCTCCCGAGTAGCTGGGATTACAGGCGCCTGTCACCACGTCCAGCTAATTTTTGTATTTGTAGTAGAGACAGGGGTTTCACCATGTTGGCCAGGCTGGTCTCGAACTCCTGACCTCAGGTGATCTGCCTCAGCCTCACTGCTTGCCCCTAAGTGCTAGGATTGCAGGTGTGAGCCACTGCACCGGCCTCAAATAGTTTTTATCAAAGCTACTTCAATTAGTGGCTAGCAGGGCTTAAAGACTAATGCAGTGCTTTATTTTGACACTTGTCTGCAGCATACTGCTTTTTTTCCTGTGTCCTGTGGGACCTAGTCATTTGTATGTTAGACTCACAGAGGAATTAAAGAGATAAACATGCATGTGCTAAATAGATTTCTGTCTTGCTTTGTTATCCTGTCTTAAAATAACATTATAAATTTCCCAAGAGTTAAATTAATACTAATAACTGGTAACTTGTTTTTATGTAAACAGCATACTTGAGCCCAGAAATCTTCTGGACTGCTTTATGGATCTCTGCCTGCCCTTCTCATTGGTCCTCTGTTCATCCCTTCTCTTCTAGAGCTTCTCCTTACCTTGGCTTCTCTTCTGCCACATTGGCCTGCCTGACCTGTCCTCAGGCCCCATCACTGCCCTAGATTACATTCCCCAGCTCTTCACTTCCAAATCTGGGCCTCTCGTTTAGATCTTCTCTCCTGACTGCCAGATGGCATGTCCCACTGTCCTCCGGTGTATATCTCCAAAGTGTCCCACAGGCATTTGTCTCAGATGAAGTTTCAGGTTGGACTCATTCTTCTGCCCCAACAGCAGAATGACTCATTGAGCCATTCAGCACATTCTCTATATGGCAGATTCGGTGCTGTCTCTGGAAATACATCAATATACAGCGATTCTTTTTTCTGTTGAGGCAAACATAGATTTGGACAATTTCTATTCAGGTCATGAATGTGATATGTGGAAGATATTCTGAGAGCAGAAAGGGATGTTTTACAGCACAGCCAGCTGTGTGGCGCTCATGGCAGGCCCTCTGGAGGAGTTGAGCCTGGGCTCTTGGGCTAATGTTTCAGCTCTCACTTCCTTCTGAGCTGTAGTTGCCAGTCCATCTTTCATGAGACCATTGGAATGATCTTTCTGGTCTTGTCACTTCATGGTTTAAAGTTTCCCCCGGGCCTACACAGTGAAGTCCAAATTCAGCATGGTGTATTACAAGACCCTTATGATCCAGTGTTAACCAGGGGTTAGGTATCCTAGCCATACTGTTTATCTCTTGAATACCTCTGTGCTGTTTGACGAGTCCAGCCCCTACATGTTCATACCTCACTTATGTGACACCCTTCCTTCAGGTCTCCCAATCTCTGTAGCCTCCCTGAACTATGCATTTGCTCTGCTGCTTGATTTGTTTCTGTGACTGTCCCATTCCCCTCGGCACACATGAGAGCATGGACCTTGTCTTGGTCCTTTTTTTTTTTTTTTTGGCTTTAACAGAACATAGCAAAGAACTTGACATAGATGTATTCTGAGTTTACCACTGGAGTTACCACAGAGGTCTGCTAAGTGAATACAACACAGTGGGGACCCAGAACCTCTAGAAAGGGTTGAGAATTACAGTCCCCAGATAGCTACAATCAGGAAATAATGTAACCTGTTTGCCTAGGGTGCTACATACAACTGAGACTTCCATGGGACCTTAGGGTGATAACCATTAAACCTACTCTTTCAGTGTTTGTTTACTTTGTAAAAGCATCACACTAAGGAGGTTGTCGTTTAATCCTCATACCTACCCTGGGTTATTAACACTGTTGATGAAGAAAGGTTTACTTGGCTAAGATATGGGCAGTTTAGTAAGTGGTAGAATAGATACTCCAGTCCTGTC